GGGGGGTGGGGGCAATAACCGTCCGTTTGCCCTGTCGAAGCCGCCACGATGTGAGTCTGTGCAGGGACGATCGCCTGCGGCTGGACCAGTGCTTGTGTCTGGATGGGAGGCTGTGTGTGGGCTGGGGTTTGTTTCTGCTGGATGGACAGGTGCTGAGGCAGAACCGCTGGGTGGTGGGAAGCAGTGTTTGAAGGGACGGCTTTCAGGAGCTCTGGGTGCTGGCGCTGGGTTAGTTTTGGTAATGAGTTCACTGGCCTGTCATCTTCCATGTCTTCATCCATGTTGTCTTCACCCTCTGGAAAAAACGAAAGGAAGAAACTCCCATAAAAAAGAAAGCAGAGCACGAACTGGACTAACCAGCCTCCCTAAAAGGCAGCACAGGCGGAAGAGACGACAGCAGGAGGAGTCACTGAACTACGGGCAGGCAGCATCGCACGGCACAGCACGCTCCATCGAGCCCCAGTGGGGCGGCACACCCCTCTCCTCCCTGCCTGTGGGCCCAGGACCCAGAGCCAGGCAGGCGTGACTAGCTCGAAGCCCCAGCTAGAGAGGGGTGCTCACAACAGGCTGAGAGATATCGCTCGGCAGGCAAGGGAAGCAATTTAAGCAGAAGCAGATGGAGAGCACCTGGGCTGAACTCTGTCTGGGCTGAGGAGGGCTCCTTCTGGGAAGAAGAATGGGGTTTCCTTTCCTGTCCAGTTGTTCCACCGATCGGTACCACCCCTTCTGCTCCCAGAGCAGGCAGGAGACAGCCATGGAGAAACATGGCAGCAAGTTCCTTGTCTGGTTCTGGAAAATGGACTCTCGTCCAGTCCACAACTAATGAAGCAATGCAGGAACATGCTGACCCTGCGGAGATCAGGAAGACGAGCAGGGCACCTTGCACTGCCTGCTCTAAAGCCAGCCATGCAGTAGAGATTAAAAATCTCAGAAGATACAGAAGCAGCAGGAAAACCAGGGAAGACACTTCCCTTTTGCAAGCTCTGTGGTTAGTAGTAGCTTGAAGTAATCATTTTTCAGCAGAGGCCAGCTGGAGAGGCGAACGGCTGACACTCCTATTGACAAAGCACTCCTACTCTCAACTTCCATCAGCCTACACTCGGAGTCTGTGCATATGTTCAAAGGTGATGAGCCCAATACAAGCCTGAATGAACCAGAAAGCTCAGATTTTCCCTTCCTGGAACCCGCTGTATCGTCTGCCTGGAGTGCCAAGAGCAAATGCTGTCGCGATTTGAAGGAACTGCTGCAAATGGTTACAGGCTGCTACAGCCTCCCCATCTCTGGATAGCAAAGAGTACATCCACAGACTGCCTATTCTTCCTGCTGCAGATCACTGGTATGGAGAAAAGCATGCACGCTCCTATCTCACAAAAACTTCTCACTGGGAACAGCACGCCAGATATTCATTAGTATCATTTCATCTTCACTGTGAATCCTTTTCACACAATGTGAAGGCTCATTAAGTTGTTCAAATGCTCTGGTGATCCTTCCTGTACCAATTCCTTCTTCTCTACGTGGCTGAACACCCTCCCACATCCACGCACAAATACATCAGGATGCTCATACATCACTCAGTTCTAACGAGCAGAGATGCATAGCTGTGCAAGAGGAAAACTAAGTTTTGAAAGCAGGGAGCTCCAGGTGAGGTATCAGCAGATTGAATGTGCAAACCTGCACTTTGTATCTACCTAATGTTGATGCACGATTTTCAGTTTACTTTACACAAGCGGCAGAGTATTATTAGGCCAACATCAATGACTACAAAACACTTGAAAACCTTTTACTTTATTCTGAATGCAAAGAAACCTTGATGGTGCTAGATGAAGATCCCCACCACCACTATATAACTGTGTCAGTGACATACGGTGATGATTACAAGAAGAGAGTAATTACGGGTACCTGATGCTGTCGAGGTAGATGCCTGGTCATCCTCTGGCTGAACTGTCTGTCGAATAATTCTGTCAATCTCCAAGATGTCCATCCACTGGCTCAACTCGTTCTTCAATTCTGCCAGTCGCTGCTGGGTAGCAATCTTCTCTCTTGCCAGCCGCTCCATCTCATGTTCATATTCTTTTTCCTTTCTCTTTAAAGTCTAAAGACAGAAGGAAGAAAAAGAAATAAAAGGAGAACAAGGACAAATATAATCTACACTAACCTGGTCACTCCCACGTCCTTAGCTGGTTTTCTTTTATTACCAGTTATGCTGGTGTAAAACGCGTTCAGATATAGTTACGCCTTTCAAATTTAGGCAGAAAGGGAAAGGACGAGAGCTGGCCACAAAAACCTAAAGGGTTACTTTGGCCAACCACTTTCCACCTGCTGAAGGAAAACTGATGAGCCTCCAAAACTGAAATGCTTAACCACGTCAGGTGTGAGTCCCTTCAATTCCAGGGGTAAATTTAAAGCCTAGAACTCCTCAGGAAAAGTTGTAAGGCTTTCTCTCTGAAAAAAAGTATTTCTGCCACTTTAAAGATAGAAAATGAAATCTTCTTACGTTCTTCCTCTTTCGCTCTAACAGAAAATGAAATCTTCTTCTTACGTTCTTCCTCTTTCGCTCTAACCTCCCCAGTAAAACTAAAAAATTAAGAACCAAGAGCACTGAACTGTGACAATGACTCATATCTGTAACATGGAAGCCAGACCCTTCCCAGCAAAGCACTTCCACCCTGGCTGACTTCCTAAGCTAAACACAGGACACTGACGGTACGTGTGTGCAAACACTGGCAAGAAAGAACCTCTGTAAGGACACCAATAAACGACTCATGGATGCAGAGCGCTCGTGGACCATGAAGCAGACTGTCCGAGGTCCCGGACAGGTATTTGCTGGAGGTGCAGCAACATAAACCTGGACTCTCTGTTCACTCCTCTCTTCTGTTTCAGTCCAAGGGAGCTCCTTGTTGCACTTCAACGTCAGTTTAGAGCGACAGGAGTCAGTACTCAGTTCCCAACACCAGTCTCACTTCACCTGCCTTATGAAATATTTGAAGAGGACTAGGGCTTATTGCGGACTGGTGGGAAAGTGCAAAGGGAGGGAAATGGGTGCAGTTCCCTCTGATCGCCAGGCGAGAGGACATGAGACCACTGTCAGTGAGCCACTCGGAGAGTGGGGCTATAGAGTTTTTACTACATACATCTATTCCCAAGCATCCCTAAGGAACGGAAGCATCTACACAGAGAGCAGTGCTCCTGCACAGCAATGGACTGATGGCCCATGGCTTGAGAAAGGTGGAAAAAACCCCATATCCTTGCATGAAGACAGAAACCTTGTGCAGAAAACTCTGCTCTTATGTGGGAAGATAAAACCACAGACATATTGAAGTATTTCAAAGACAAGGTGCATAGGAAGAGATGGTATCTTTTACTAAACCAACTGACAGTAGTTGGGGAAAAAAGACAAGCTTCAGGCACACAAGCCCAAGTAGGTCTACACAAAATCATGGTGCATTTCTGTAGCCAGCACATAAATCATGGAGAGAGAGGGAACTTTTATATGGTCAGAAGAAAAGAAAAAGCACAAGTACTAATTAGCTTCTGAGCAACACACACCACACCAAGAGCTCCTGACTTAGAAGAGATGGCTAAGAGCCGACAATACCCTGCATCACGGGGGAAATCCTGAAGTCAAATGCGAAGGAACAGTGTATGTTCTCCTCTCCTGCTAATGCCCACTCAGCGTTGGAAATTCAATACGTTCATCGGCAGGGAAGGGAAGAGATGCTGCATCAGTCAGCACAGTATGCAAAAATGCCAAACACTACCCAGTACTATTAATGGGAAATATAAACCACATAGATCTGATGGGGATCAATTATTGAGCAGTGCAGCAGAAAAACAATAGCTGATCTTCAGCTTCAAAGGTACTGTTTTATGAGATTTTAAGCCAGTAGTGTAGCACTGAATAGTAACAGGACAGAGAACCTGTCCCCCAGCCAGGTCAGCACTTACTATAAGCATAAAAGAGACAAAATAAGTGAAATCTGCAAAACCATCTATAGCCCATCCATTTTCTAAAGTTAAGTTTCACCACTGGGAATCTAAATCACATAAACACTCCTGAAAATACCAGCTATACAGAGCCTGCACGGATGCTCTTTTGCACTCACTACCGGCAAGCACTGAATTTAAAAGCAAACCTTACACTTAGCAGAGCAGCAGAGGATCAGACTCATGATCTTCTGAATACGTGCTCTTTATTTCTCTCTCAAGTTCTCCAGGACAACTGCAATCAGAACCTGACTTCATGCATTTCAATGGTTCTGCTGGTCTTTTATCTCAAAAGTTAGCCGGGAAAAGCCTGTTCAGCCAGGCCTTTAATTCAGCCTAAGCCAACACAATGACTAGGGTAGCTTCTGCCTTCTTCTTATAGAAAAGTAAAATGAAGAAAAAAAACCAAAGGGTACCTTTGTCCCGATAATAACAAAAGAAGGAAGTATTTTTAAAATGGCCAAACAATGTGTATTAGCAGGGCACAATCATTCCAGATGTGTAAATGGAGACAACTCCTCTCAACGAGGCTTACACTTTCGTCTCCTAGCACAGCTGGCTTTAGCTCAGACAAAAGCCTCTCGAAATGGACAGTTTTCAGGCAAAGGGGGCAGTTCTGTCCCTCTCGCTGCTTTTTAAACTGTAAGCAGGCAGCCAGCTCCTCAATACCACAGTTTTATACTGGGAAACCCCAGCAGACCTGTAGCCTACAGCAGTGACAGGAGTTACTGGGACAGCAGGGTGTCCACAGCAAGGAAGGGAAGGTCTTTGGGTGCAGGAGACACAGGTAAGTGGGGACAGGGACTCCCGGAGTCCTGGCTCTGCACCAGCGCTCACTCCTAGCCCGAAGATGGTGTTTACATCCATACGTGGCTGAAGCCCAAATCCATATGCTAGTTTTAAAGTCTCTTATCCTACTGAGTGTGGCCAAAGCACTTTGCCTGACCCAGAAAACACAGTCGTGCTGCATGTGTGCTTTGATTTCCTTGCAGCCAAAGGGATGTGGGTGGGACACAGAGGGCAAAGCTAAGGCAATGAGGAAGGTGCACGCTCCTGTGCTCAGGTTTAAATATGCAAGAAGAGAACTCGTCTGAATGTCTTCCTCTTTGCTCTCTAATCAGGAAAGAAGCAAGCGGGAGAAAGTCTCAGACTAAAATCACTGCATACAGACACGAGCCCGGCCCCTCTCTGCAGCATTCCTCTCCAAGCATGTTCTCCATGCGGTTACTCACAGGGCACGATAACGAAAGGACAGAATACAGTAACACAGCTTTCCAGAAAGTGTAAGAAAGAAATCCATGCAGCCTCAGCACCCGTATCGTGCACAGCACAAGCATATTCAAGTAGATTTGGCTTCCTTCCCTGCTGCGAAAGAAGACTCCCAGCACCAGGGGAAAGCATGACTATGAGGTATGGGCAGGGCAGCTGGTCATTAGTTACAAACTTTTAATTACTGAAAAGGCAGGCAAACCCTTAGCAAGCACCAGGACGAGTCTTCCAGTGAGCGGGGCCAGGGAGCTCGCTCTGTCGCTCTCTGGGTGCTCCACTCCTCCAGCACAGGCTTGGGGACGTGGAGCTGCTCCAAGCCCGGCCCCACAGGCTCTGCCTCCCTCTGCGCTGCCAGCAGCCCCAGCCCTCCCCGTGCTGGGAAATGGCTTGACGGGGTGCCAGCTCCCAGCAGCCACTCGCTGCGACTGCACACTCCTCCCGGGGCTCCTGCAAACGGCCCCCCCGGCCAGCGTGGTCACAGGCTGGGTGCTCTCCAAGGGAAGCTGCTGGGGAGGCTGGAAGAGCAGATGGGCTGGAGTCTCTGCTGGCACCAGTAATCTTTCAAAAACTATTCTAGGATGCAGTTCACTGTGGCTCACTTGGTACAGACGGATCTCCCGGCTGAGCTGCTACTTGGCCTAGTAACGAACTCGGTGTGATTAACTGGAGCCTTCCTCCCTCTCCAGCAGCTCCCCTCCGAGCACTGCCCCGCTCTCTGTGGGCACCGGCCTTGCAGGGCACACCCTCCCAGGCTCTGCAGGGGCTACGTGCGTGCCCTGCGTTTGAAGGCGAGTCTGGGAGCAGGAACAGACCCAACCCCAACCCACCGGCCCCTGTGCAGCAGCAGGCACTCATCTCCTGCAGGAACCTGCTCGAGAGGGGACAGGGAGTGGGGACCCTCTTGCCTTAGTACTTCTTCCCACCAGCAGCTGGTATGAAGAGGGTGGGGGCACATCTCCCTGTGTCCTCTCTGACCAGCATCACCAGCAGTCCCTTAGACAGACCGCTGTCTAGCATCTGCTCATTGACAGGTTATTTTCTGCAAATCATCCTGCCCACATCAGGTGCCAGGTTTTCCCATCAGTCAGTAGAAAGTCCACAGCGACAGCCAAACCTTAGTCATTCTGACTTTGCTCGCTTACCTACTCCCAAACAGAAAACACCTTTAGAGACATGCGCTGGTCTCCAGGGCATTTTTTCTAAAATGGGAATTTCTTACAACAGCAGCAGTATCACAATGGATCCTACGCGATACAAAAAAAAAAAAGTCACAAAAAAGTTTTAAAATAAGAAGCAACTACATAGACACTTCTTTCACCAAACCCAAACCTTTGGGATCTTCCAACAGAACTGGCACATAAGCCTAGAGTTGAAAGGGGCAGAGGGAACCCTTGAAACTACATACAACAAAATAACTAATTAAGAATGAAATTTCAATAAAAGGAATTCATACAAATGCCCAACCACCTGTCTTTCAAGGTCTGAAATTTCATTAAGGCAGAGGCATGTGTGTCTGGGACAGCTGCAGGTCGGTAACTGCCATCCGACCCACTTCCCCAGCCACCGCTCCTACTGGGAACTGTGGGGAACGGCAATGGCGAGGGCTCTGATAAGGTGCTGGTACCTGGGATGACAATTAAGCTGTCTGCCAAGATCCTGAAGGACACACATCCCCAGTTTTGACCCAGGACTGAAGACTCAAACCCTTGTTCCTGAATTTCCTCCCCAAAAGATGCTGCTTTCCTTTGTACTGTCTTGCTGTTTCTCTCAGGACATGGTCCCTGCAGCAGGGGACAGGTCTGGAGTCCCCCAGGCTCCTGGAAGTCACTGCTTTAAGGA